CAAGCTGGTAGGAATGGCATGCTAATGGAAATCGATTTGTAAAAACCAGCCTCCATGGTGAATCCATTTACGTTAAAGGATCTTCCGAAAAGATTCTTATTTGGCTCTCTATTCGTGAACCATTTTCGAAACATTGGATTGCAAAAAATTTGTGGAGAAAAATTTGTAAAAGTTGGACGAAACAATGAAACGAAGAAGAGAAAAGGATAAATTTCAAATTATTAATATTATTTCTGTTCGGATTTATATATCATTACATTATGAATTTCCTTTCGAAAAGTTTCTCTTAGGGGAAGAGACTTGGTGTGTGAGCAAGAAGATGCTTCGTGTAACGTGGTTTCAAAGAACTACTTACCGAATTTCGATACCTTGAACACTCAGGGGGAGGTGGAGGCAAAGTTTACGAAATTCTCTTCCGGTGTATAATTAAATAGCGCTTAGAGCTCCAGTTTACGAGGCCATGTTGGCGACAGTTTATATATATAAAGGGTTGTGAACAACCACCACACACAGCTTTTTCGACGCAACAAGATTTACATATTGTCCACTTCGTTTGCCAGAGATGCAAATTCTTCGAAGAGAAGAAATATGATAAACGTCGTTTTTTTTTTTTTTTTCATTCCAAACTTTAGATCAGATAATAGGATCGAATAATTTATGATGGAAATTTGAATGGAAATTTTGTTCATCTTGTTGTTCTATCGATTTTTGTATGGATATTTGCAACGTGTAATTAATCATGGATACAATTTTTTCGTAATATCCCGCGAAGAAACGATATTTATACCTTTGGGATGGAAATGAAATTTAAAGATTAGAAGGTAAGGCGGTGGTGGAGAGACAGAACCATAATGAAAGTCAGGAAAGTTCAAACATCGAGGCGACAGATGGCTCTTATAATATACTCAGGTACACGGGATTCACGTTAAGAATTCACATAAGAATTTTTACTTTTTTACGAATGCTAATTCTTTAACTTTTTCCATTCTCCATCTGTTCACATCCATCATTGTTACATATAATAATTTTAATCGAAGCTGTTAAAGTCATGTATTGATTCGCAACTTTTTTTTTTTTACTTGAAAAGTTAATTAGGAAGATGTCAAAATCAAAGTCATGATCACTCCCTTATAGAGTATATTTTGATATTTAATTGATATTTAATAATTTATTATATTTATTTATTAAATAATTTATTTAATAAATTTAATTGCCAAGAATGATCTAGAAACTGATAGAAAAGATAGTTTTTACCAAATCAAAAAAAAAAAAAAAAAAAAATTGTAAAGAACACTTTCATTTTAGAGTCAAAAATTTACGTAATACAGAGTTGTTCGTGATTAATGTTCCAAGAGCTGTCTGTAAAACGAGATTCTCAATTTTTGTTAAATCATAGTGCGCAGCTATTGTTGGAGAAAGATCGTTCCTGTAAATCTGTACCATAACGAGGCCAAGCTATGATTAATGAACCACAGAAATTTCTAACCTTCTCATTTTCTTGGCTTCACCCTCGCATCAACATTTGATCCAACGTAAATTTTCATTTTATACGCTGCTATTATCTCTTTCTGTCGAATTTTTCGTCGAAGGTAAGAGGATTAAAAAGATTTCTAAACGACGAGCATTACGCTTATCTTCTTGTAGTTCATTTAAACTCATATTCTTTTATAGCATTAGTTTTAGTGTAGAGTAGTAATTTCTAGAAAAAAAGTGGATGAATCAAAGTGATGCAAAATTCGCACCATTTTATGGAATATTTGAATGAAATATTATTAATATTAAAAAATTTTGTGAAAAATTGCGAAAGAATATTAGATTATGAAGAAGATTTTTACATGTGGTTAATTTAAATCAATTGAAAGATAAGGGTATCGTCTTTGAACGATATCTTCAAACTTGAAAGCTTTCTAATTATTATTTTGTGAATTACTTAATGATCAAAACTTTGATTACTATTATTTCCAATAAATAAAAATTCTTATATTAAGAATTTATTCATTCTATCTGCAATGATATAAAAATAAAATTTAATAGATATAGAACAAGTAAGGAGAATGTAGTAATATAAAAAGAATTATCCAGATAACAATTTAATTAATAATTCAAAAAAGAAAGAAAAGAAAATAAAGAAATATAAGGAATTGCAAGAGAGGTCGTCGTTTAATTTTTAATAATCAGTTCTTAAATGCTTGATTGCCCCAGAGAGTACCTTTATTATTTTTTAAAAAACAATCAACAATGGAAAAATTCGATGTCCCGTGAAAATTTTCTCGCCAATTGTCTTTAAAAATAATTTAAGGGCTTGATTGATTCCCATTGGTGGTCACGAGCGGGTAAAAAGTTTTTTCACGGAACCACAGTCGTGCTTCAAACTTGGTAAACTGGGAAAAAAGTCAAGGGTAGTTCGAAAACAATTCGGTTCCTCAAACAAAACTGAAAAAGAATTCGATTTTTGTTCACGAATTCGGAATTCTTCGTTTCAAATCTTTGATATTTATCGGCAAATCTGTTACATACTTTTATTTATTTACATATTAATATTTTTTACCTTTTTTTATCTTTTTCTTAAAAAATTATTTTTTTTTGATAATTCGAGTTCATCGATGAAAGAAAGAGAATTACAAGTACATCGAATTGATTTAACCTTTGAACTTTTCCATATTCATTTAACGATAGACTCGTTCAAGTACATTTTACTATTACCGATTCATAAACTTCATTTCTATTTTTCATCTGGTCTATTGGATATATCAGGGTTCCCTTCGAGGAATGGGATAGAAACAATTGTCATTTATTCGACGTTTTCTGTTTCTTGTAAAACGGTGTAATTTATTTTTCGATATAAATCCACTTTGAAACGTCAATAAGCATCTTACTCGTTACTTTCAATTCTTTTCGTTCTCGAACGTACGTCTCGCTAAAACAGTTATTGATGCCTCATTATTTTCAACATCCCTTGTCGATTTCCTATTCCTTTATTCTTTGCGGATTATTTACAAAAAAAAAGCCTGGTTATATGTTAACCATAATGAAAACGACGATAAAATTCGTTTGATGACGATGATTTTATTATCATTTTCACGAATTTACAATTTAATCCACATCTTTAATAATCTCTCTATTATTAAGTATATATATATATATATATATATATATATAGTGAGAACAACTTGATTTGAATAATAAAATAATGTAATTTTAGATTTATAAAGATTTTTAAGCTTAAAATTAAAAATAATATCGAATTCGATTTTTTTTTACGAAAGAATTTGGTAAGATTAAATTAATAAAGTTATTTTGTAGCTATAAAAGATAGCTATAATTTTTCCAAATGATACATCATGATAAGCATTACTGAACAAGTTTCAAGCTTCACTTTAGAAATAATTTTTTTCAATGCAACGATCAAAGTAAATAGAAATATTCATAATTCTTCCCACTAAATACTTCTAAAGCAGAATTAAGAGGATCTTGAGGAAAAGTGTGCCACTTATCTTTCATGCTTTTAAAGCTTATAATTTTAAAGCTCTTTTATTCCTGGTGAATTACAAGAAACTGCAGAGGGATAAGATTAAAAAAAAGAAAAACTGATATATGTACTTGGTAAATTTAACGAGAAATAGATGAAAGATATGTAGGAGACACGTAAAATATTTTAATAATGTTTAATTCGGTTTTTATCATTTTCAATTTGATTTCACTAGAACAGTTTGCCAAAAAAACCCACATGATACAATGATTTTTATTGCTTTTTCTTTTGCTTTCATCTACGTGAGTGTTTTTTTTTTTTATCAAAACAAAATTTAATTTCATTCGAAATCCATTTTATTTCTCGTTTGCCATTGTTTAAAAACTATTTCACAATAATTAAAATGTGCATTCCTATAAATTTTAATCTTTCATGCTTTTGTCCATTCCTCTTTTCAAATTCCTAAAAACGTTTAAATTAGTTGATAGTTTAAAAATTAATGACGAAATAAATATTTATAATCTTGTCTATATTTAATTAATATCAAATAATTAAACTTTTCACGATAAGTATTAAATATTCTGAAAGCTTCAAAGGAAAACAAATTTTTCCGTAAGATAAAAATATATTCCCTCATATAGATTTACTTTTTTCGGATTATTTCACCAATTCGGTTCACTGTCTGTATTGAGTATATTTTTTTTGTTGACAGATCACCCATATCGAAGGAAAAAGATCAATTTCAACGTTGTGGACACAATAATATCCAGGAAACTGTCAGAGAAAAAAAATAGTGTAAATGGAGAAAGATTTTATGTATCACACAAAAGAATAACTGTTGATTTAAATGATAATATTTAGAAGTCACTAGAAAACATTAGAATCTTCTATGTTCCTCTAATTCAAAAATTTACAAGTTTTACATCCTGAAATATTTAAAATTATATTTAACAAGTAAGTATTTTAGCATTTTATTAATAAAATTCACTAAAGATTAATTCGACTCACGACATATCATGAACTTGGTTATCTTGTAATTGCGATCTAAGTATGAATAATTTTATACTATTTAATCATCATATCTGTTAATCTTCACATTTCGTTGATTAATCTCGACCACTATATAATAATTTTTGCACATTCCATGAAATTCTCACGAATTCTAAAAAAAAAGACACTCGAAATTAACCAATTTACGATATTCGAAATCCTATATGATATTAAAGGAAACCAGAGTTTATTTTGTTGCGCAGCTTCACGTTTCTAACTTTATCACTTTCCAAGTGTTATAATTCATCGGACTGGAACAGCTGCAGAAACAGATACATATCCAGCGACACGATCATTAAGCAAGCTGGTAAATTAGAAAACATGTAGCGCCACCATTTTGGAGGTTAGTTCTTGTTTTGTCATCTGTGGAACACGTAGCGCCGTTCTCGAACTTGTGTCACACCGCAGTTTAAATCACGGGATGTGGATTAGCATAACGAGTAAGCATGGCGCATAATGTACAATGATAATTTGCGTTCAACTTCCTGTGCAATTTAGATATCAGATTGCTAAAGGGGCGTTCTATTAAACTGGACACAGGAAATATCACCTGATAGATGGTGAAAAAGTAGATTTACGAGATAGTGTGCCATATTATATGATGCGTAATAATGAGGTTATGTTGGAATTACTCGATATTCGATCATTTATCTTCAAATCTAATCAATTCTTCGCAATTTATTCACGAAAACAAGTATTCTATAATAACATTTACAATTCCAAAAGTCACTAGAAAGATATAGATTTTTCAAAACGTAAAATTTAATATTCTATATTTAAAGAAATTCACAGTACATATTTAACTATTTGTGTAATGTATAATATTTAAATTGTAATTTTTTAAATATAACTAAAATCTGTACATCTTTTGAAACTTGAAGATATTTAATGCGTGTTTAATTGGAAGAATCGTACGATTATGTACACTTTTAAAATCACGTGTATTATCTTGGAAAACGATGAATCGAATCGAAATATTATTTGTCGCATGATTCAAACTTATTTTATATTGTGTTTTTCATATCAATCCAAGTACGACGGACAACAGAGACCAACCGTGGAATCGACTGAATAAATTTTAATTTTCCAAGCCGTCAGCTTATTCACCTGTACGTACGTAGATAACAAAATTAAATTAACTAGGCAGCTATTCTTCCACGTATTCACGATTGTTTCTCTTGTATATCAGTTCTTTCAAGTTAATCATTCTTTTGTTTAATTATTCGTAATGAATCGACAATAAAATGAAATATCATTCTTTGTTCAAGCTTCTTTGTATCACATTTTTCGTTCAAATATATATTGTAACTTTTTCATGCCTATTCATCAATCAATTTCGTATTTTAAAGTGACGTTGAATCAATAGCATTGTACTATGACAGGTTGAAACTTCTTTGGGTTATTCGCAATATTACAATGTTGTTGGACGGATGTTTAGAGCACAGATAACGAGATCAACAGGATAACAACATGCGACATGTTTGATCATTACCATCGAAAAAGGATATTTCCAGTGAAATGGCAAATTCTAACTCGCGTGAGAGAAATAAATCTAATATTTATTATGATATATTATTTTGTATAAATAGAATCATCATCATCAATTTTTCCATTTTACATAGTAGGTAACGATTTTATGAAAAAAATTCATTTAATTTAACATTCAATCTTATAATCTTTAATAAATATCCTTATTTTACGTTTGCAGAAGCTTATAAATCGTACGTTTCCAGATTTATATTGCTATTTTGTCGCGATAAGATAATGCCTCAACTATGGGAGGTGTTCGAGTGGCCCTAAGAGCTTTGGGATTCGGGGCCGCAGATGATATTCGTTTCAGAATATCAAACTGGCGTGTAACATCCGTGCCAAGAGGAACACTCGAATATTCCTAATAACAATGGATAATAATGAAACATTGGGATCAGGATATATTTTAATTATCTGTGATCGACATATGGACCGATAACTGTGTTAAATAGAAAAATAAAATTTACGGATATTTGAAACTCTTTGGAATTTAAAAAGGTTTATGGAAGTACGTATAAATTTCTCGATATATGTATATATTTTTTTTACGATTAGAAATGATCAAAAATTTGATATTTGTAAAATCGATCATGTAATCGTTTAAGATATCGTGTCTTCAATTAAAGATTTCTTCCTTTATAACAATTTTTTCCAATTTTAAGATATCAAAGAAGGTCGAAAAGGGATAATCGTTACGTAAGATCTAATGCAAATCTAATACAACATCGAACAGATAGGGGGATTACAATTAAGCCGCATTACAAATGCCACGTATATCCAATATTGTACTACAATATTTGTATTTCATCTCTCATATATGATCGTACACGACAGCATGCAATCACAAATTTGACAGTTATTAATGAAAATTTTAGATTGACGTTAGAATACATCTTTCCAATTCGAATAGAAATCTATTGGAATTTTGAAAAGAGAGGAAAACTGGGATAACATTAAAATCAGAGTTGGAATTTTTTTAGAGAGATTGTGCACAATTCTTATTATTTTTTTTCGATGAAAAGAAAAATTCCACGATAAGCGATAATCAAATTCAACAATGAGGGGAAAACGAGTTGAATTAATTCCGGAACCGGAGTGCCTAATGGAGAACTATTGTCGGTGATTAAAATATAAATGGGAAAAGGTCAACAGTGAAGCGATCAGTGTGCACAGGATTTGAATTGTGCCCGTGGCACAAGTAAATGAAAACGAATAATTCATTAATATTCACCAGTTATTCCCTCCCAGTTACTCGATATCGAAAGTACTTTTTTTACGATCCGCTCGTCATTTCTGATAATTTTACCTTCGCCGAAATGCTATATGCCCGACTTTACCGTCTCTTACTTCCTCGCATACGTGCGTATCTACGTCGTTAACGCAAATAACGATGTTACATTACATTCGAAATTCAATTTCGCGATATTTACAGCACCGTACTAATTGCAATTTCGCCCTCGTTCCAGAAAAAAATATCACATGCTTGCACATGCTTCAATAAGAACGAGAGTAATATTCTCTCTCCTTTTTTTTTTGCTCGCGATTTTTTCCGAATTAAACGAGTTGAAACAGATAATCTTTTTTTTTATAATTTTATAATAGTTATAGACTATATAAGACGCGAAAAAATATAGGCAATTTGAACATCTGTAAATTATCCATTTTAAGATTTTTTTCTTTTAAAACTCGTTGTTACGGATCATAATATAAATTGTAAACGAGAATATATTTCAACGCGCTGTCTGAAGGCGTCGTGTTCATCTGTCGTAACGGAGAGCGTAAGAGTTTGTATTTTTACGCGGCTTTATTACTAGGGCTTGTTCCCTAAGCGCCTCGCTTATAAAATTCGCATTACATCGTGAATTACATCGAACGTATCCCGTTAACGCCTTCGAGAAAACGTGTTAAACGTTCCATAAAAGAATATTATTTACGTTAAAAAAAATATATTAACACTCATTGTTCAATATTGGAGAAAAATTAGAACTGACTTTATAAAAAAAAGAAAAAATAAAATAAATTGGACAAGTTGTTCGAAATATATAATTTTGCAAAGGATAAATATTTATGTAAGAATGTATTTCATTATTTGCAAAAATTGACACACATATACATACATAGAGAGAGTAACAAACAAATTATATCAACACCTTCTTTTCAAGTTTCAAATTTCAAGTGAAGGCACTCGAAACGAGAGTTTCAAAGTTGAACAAGTTAGGTAGTCGTTCTATTAATTGTCGAACATGTTTCGAAACTAGTAAATACTGGTATCACTAGTATATTTCAAATTGTGCGAAATGTCGAACAAACTTGTTCGAATTTCTGATAGCCATAGAAACTTAGTCTGATGGAACTCTCATGAAAGATTCCCTATTTGAAGGTATTCCAAAGTGTCAAATTCTATCGAACTATTATAATGAAACAAACAGAGATTGAAAATTAAAAGTCAAAATCAAGATTCGTATCGCGTTATATATTTTATAACTTCATGATTTTATGGCATCGTGAATTTAAAAATTTCATGTATAAATATTTGATGAGTCCGAATGGCTTATAAACAATGATGATTCCGGATGGAGAAATATTCAACTCACGTAGAAACGGAAATTTGTTTTATTTTAAACGAGTCACCGTTCTCTGAGCAGAGAAATATACGGGAATTTTTGCGACCTTGTTATCGAAACTCGCCTGAATTCTAATACTTGTTCATCCAACCGAGTCATTTCTTTCGTCATAACCTTTTTTTAAGTGGCAATAATCTATCGCGTTACTTCGACTACCTTCTTATAGTTAAATAATTTTCGATCATCCCGTTAATTATCGTAATATACTCTAATCAATTGCTAATAATCGATTTTGACATTCTCAATACATTTGCTTTTCTTTAAATTCGATGACTGATTAAAAAATAAATCGATCGTGGTAATATTCGCTTTCCAATTACCAACAGTCGATATTCTCGATACATTTGGTTCGAATGATTTGGTTCTCCTCTCTCAATCGTAATACTTGTTAAAATTTGCTATCTTTCAAAAATTGATCTAATCATAGCGAATTACGTTACGTTGTGTATACACGTATAAAGATGCTTTTTAATTCGATATTTTGTAATGTAATCATTTATGGACAATTAAAACTACGAATTAGAAGTTGAAAACATTTAGAGCATTATCTCGTTTTAACAAAATTAAAACTCGAGATCGAGGGCTAATTTGATAAATAGGAAATTGCATATTTCCAAATTCTAAAAATGGAAAAAAAAGCATCTTTCAATAATAATTATTTTTATTAAAGAATCTTTTCGAAATTTTTCGAAAACATTAAGAAAATTTTCGCAGAGTCTAAGATATTAAAATATTAAAAGAAAATATAATATAGAAAAATAATAATTGATATAAAAATTAATTGTAATAAAATTTTTAAAATATATTTCATCTTATATTAGACAGAGGTTTATATTTTACTGGCAACTGGTGTATTTAACAAGAGTCTATACGTACGGTTTCTAATCCGACGATCCCTTACGGTTAAATTACTGTCAAAGGTATCACGTTCCACGTCCCAGATTTATGATATCATCGTATTTCGTGGGATTCGACTTTGTTAGAAATCTTTTTAACTCGAAAATATTATATAAAATTATAAATAATTTTAAATAATAAAATTTTAACAATCCTAATGATTTATCGACGTACGATAATTGTAACTCAAAAGTAATTTTAAAAATATTAAAATAATTTTAATGAAAAAAAGAATTTAGAAGAATTTCATGATGTTGATAATAATAAAAGTTTAATAATCCTAAAATTATAGAAATACGATAATTATGGTAAAAAGTAATTTCAACGATATTAAAATAATTCGTAAACGAAATAGATTCGTATTGTATTTTTAAACAATTTTTTTTTCCTTAAATTTAAAAAACTTTTAACGTATGAAGATACGAAATGAAATTGACGTAAAAAAATGATACGTGCAGTGGAATAAAAATGAAGTGTGAAAAAGAAAATGCGAGAAGCGCTAGTGATAGTGGATTGTATATGGTCAGACGTAGTTGGCGCTCGATACATACTACTGCGTCTCGCAGTAGTAATTTCTGACATTTTCATTATTCCAAAAGTATGCCAAATAAACATTTCGTTTCGTACGTTTTACAATAGAATCTTAACAGACTTATTATCATTCGATTAATAATATATTAGAAATTTTTTTCTGTTTTTTTCTTTTTTTAAATATTTCGTATAAATTTATAATCAAATCGAGAGTATTTATGTTACATTTATAAAGATATAAATTCGCATAAATACTTAAAATCAAGATATAAAAAATAAAAATATGATATATATTATAATTCAACGATTATCTCTATGATATTCTAAAATTATTCTGAATAATTTTTTTATTGTATCGTTGTTTTTTATGTCGTTATTTTGCCATCCACTTTATCCAGTTTATCGCTACACCTTTGGAATAAAAATTTCTTTTTTTCCTGTTCAGAAATCGAGAATATCTAAGCAAGTTTACTGGAAAAAATATTTCCTTAGTTTGAGCGAAAAATTTAATTAATTATCTTACAACTTCGTTTTAATTATCTCGATTTTTCTCGTTAACCCTTAATCAGAAAGAAAATAATTAGCTGGCCTCGTTTTATATCGATACAGAAACTTCTTTGTGAACGAAGAGAAAAAATTAAAAATTATCGAACGAATATTTCGTATAAGCATATAATGGAAGATGAATCCAATTATTGGATTCTTTTCAAATTCGAATCTAAAACTTGAGATCTAAAAATTCTTGAAGAAAACAAGAAATTTTCCAAATTTTTCGATTCTTCAATTTTAAATTCTTTTTCTTCGTTCTTGCAAAAATTTTTTGAGCTTTTTATACATAATTATTCTTTATCTAAATCTTCTTCTAAATCTTCAAGATTCAAAAGATTACAAGATTTTTGTCATTTTTACGATTTGGAACTCTGGAAATCTGGACAAAATGCGATTTATAATTCTCTTTTCCTATATTTCGAAGGATTTCGAATAATCCCATATTCACATGGGACAGAAAATTTCGAAGAATTCTAAAATAATTTTATATACATATGATTCTTCCATTTGGAACAGAAAATTTCTTATTTCCATCATTCTCGAAATTTGAAAATAATTTCTTTTTTTAAATTTCGAAGAATTCTAAAGTTTGATAATAAATCGTAAGTGATAATATATTTCGCACAATTTGAAACAGAAAATTTCTTATTTCCATCATTCTCGAAATCTGGAAATAATTTCTTTTTTTAAATTTCGAAGAATTCTAAAGTTTGATAATAAATCGTCGATAATAATCGTGATAATATATTTCGCACAATTTGGAACAGAAAATTTCTTATTTCCATCATTCTCGAAATCCGGAAATAATTTTTTTTTTCAATTTCAATTCTTTCATTGATCCAATAGGAAAAGTAGAATATAACAATTATGATAAAAAAGATGATGAAAATTCATCGATCACAAGTGACAATATATATTTAATATAATTTCCTCGAGCAAATAAACGTCGTTCCTTCTCGCTTTCCGATCGAAAGAATTTAAATCCGTGGCGGATACACGAAAAATCCAGATTTCAAGTTCAACACATTTTATCGAAAATTCTTAATGGGTACAGTAGAGTACTTTACCAAAAGTTCGCTCCACACCTAAATTCCTGCTTAAGTCGGATCGCGAGGATATTCGATATTTCAAATTTCGAAGCTTTAGACTTGCCCTCGAACAATCGATAATACACGGATAAAACGATGCGACGATACACGTTGCGTACATTACGTCAATTTAAACATTTCGATTTTAATCGTGCGTTCTAATTCAGGTCGATTTTTATCATTTTTATTATTCCCCTTTCGCAAACTGTCCAGCATAGGCGAATAACAGGTAGATTGATATTCAATTTCATTTCATCTCTATCTATGCTTTTAACAAATAAGAACAGACCGTACTGCAAATAAACGTAATTTGTCAGAAGCATATCGTTCGAAAAATTGTTCGATTTTTATCCCTCTGGAAATGTCAAATCCGTGTAAAAAAAGTGAAATTACAAGGGAAATAAATTTTCCTAATCTCGACCCATTGTTCGATATATATATATATATATATAAATCGATCTTCGTGATTCAAGTTCGCGCGGACAATTAAATTATACGTGGATTTGATTAAATTTTAACATATAAAGATAATATATATACGTATATTCGACGAGAAATATAATTTGAAAAATAATTAAAAAAGGGAAGATCGAGAACCGATAGAATCGATCACATTGAAATACCGTTGGCAAAAGATTATCACTGGTATCCCGGTGCGAGGGACAAAATCTAATTTCCTCCCTCACCGTGAAATGTTTGACATGCACGCGTTTCAATCATGAATATGCACGTCCATTTTCAAATGTTTCCTGCCTTGTTCCTATATCGTCCGACAATGTACCTATTCCACACGTCACGGACGGATGGAATCCGTATTCACATTGTTTGCATTGGCCGAGTAAATTAATTTGCGAGTTGCGTTTCCTTAAAGAGATTTTCTTTTCTTCGAAACGTTTCCCTTCGTATCTTTCGTCGTAAAAATCGTCGTAAAGAGAGCGGAAGGAGAGAATTCTTCAAAATTCTGTGAAAACTCTTTTCAGTTCAGGAAAAAATATGGATCAATTGTAACACTTCACCTAAAACCAAAGAGATTTTATCATAGAGATGGAAAAATTTTTTTATTCCATTTTTACGTACAGTTTCATACATTTTAATTCCAACTTTAATACGTATATACGTATGTAAAGCTAATTATCCTATTAAAAGAAATGTTTCGTTGGAGGATGCATTTTCAAACTTTCATCAATAATAAACGTATGCAAAGCTTAATCATTCTTGAAACAACAATCGTATTTCGTTCAAACAATCGTACTATTTTCAAGGAACCGTAGGATGATGTATTCCATGTGTATTTCATATCCAATCTTCGAACGAACACGAATATACGCGAGGGTTAATC